CCCCAAAACCCCAAAACCCCAAAACCCCAAAACCCCATTAAGAGGAGCAAAACTATAAAATTAATAAATATATTAAGTATATAAACTAGAGGAGTCTTGGATAAAGCCTAATCCTTGCCAATCTCTTTTGTGAGTATAAGATTAGGAAAGTCTGAAAATTAATAAATTGAACCAAGATTATCCTGCCGCATTCTGCTCCTTTTGGTTCATATATCGAATCTATAGTCAAATAATTACAAGGAGAGGGAAAAATAACCTATCTGCATATGCCATATATGTCTTTATGCGTAGTAGCATCTAGTTCTTGAACTCAAGGGATTCAAATTCACGAACTCTAAGGAATGCTCTTTATCAAAAATATATAAAAATTTTACGGAATAATTGCATTTCTTGAGGGGCTTAAGCTAAAATTCAGCATAATCTGATTCTAAATAAGCTAAGACTTTTCATTCGGGGCGCAATAGATGACAATAGCATGTTCTGCATATTTTTAACTTTGAGCTTATTAATATTTAAGAATTCACAAACAATTAGAAAAGCTTAGTTGTTGTTTCATGCCTTCTTGTAGTGCCTAAATATTAAGACCAGCTTGTCTCAATGTATTGAAAGAGGCACCTGAATTCTTTAAAATTGTATCAGAGCTTTGAAAGGGGTAAAGTATTATGCATGTATTCTGGGCTACTAACCATAACTAATATTAACGAAAATAAGATCTCCCACTACTAGATTTAGCTTAGAAATCAGCCTTCTCTTTACATCAGAAGTTGCATTTGTATATCTCCTGATAAAGATAATATTTATGATTGCAGAAGGAGCCCAAAGAGTAGGAGATCAAGACATCAAGGTCTTTGGAACATTCTTATGTAGATATTCTCACAGATTTGAGAGTTAACAACATCTCGATCTTAAGTTCTACTTGTAATGCTCAAAATATAGAAATAAACAAAAAGAGGTGTAGTCTCTTCCTGAATGATTCCTGATAATTTTGAGAACTTTCCTGACACTGGAGGAACTTTAAAGACCTAAAATGGTCTGATCTCTCCTTATTCCGGTGTTTAGAGGATGCACATTCCTCGAACGTGGCTTTATACAAATTGGTAATTAAAATCCTCCCTCTGTATTATTGAGAGACATCAAAGTTAGAAGAAGAAATTATGCTGGCAATATTGTTACTTTTAAGAAAGTTATTGATTTAATTTAATACGAGAATGCAGAGAATATATCCCTAAGAGAAAGAGTTAAAGAATAACATCCCTCTCTTCCTTCTCTTCCTCATCTTTCTCTTTGACTCTTTTGAAAGCTCTTCTAGTAGAGCTTTCATAGAAGGCAATTTTGAATTTAAAATCTTCTGATTTTATTGCCGGAAAGTCTGGGTGGATCTTTACTTTGATATCTTTTCAGAACTCCTGCACGTATATCAAGGTCTTTCCAGGAAACTCGTGCAGCATTGACTCCCAATTTATGTTCCCTTCTTTAACTTGCTTTTTGTACATTCTGGTCAGGTCCTGCTTCTCGCGTACAGAAAGATTGTTATTGTTAAGTATCTTTTGAAGCCTTCGCACAAGCATCGATATCTTTCCTTTCCATTTTGCCTTTTTGGCTACTTCAAGGATTAGTTTCTTATGAATTTTGTTCTTTCTCAATGGAGTCGAGATGACATCTCTCAAATTCATCATTGAATGCCGTCAAATTGCTCTATAAGTGGAGAACAGGTTCTTGTCATCCTCCTTCCTCCATCTCACCTCCTTCGATGAGCCCTTAAGGTCTTCTTCTCCTTCGGGTTCTATTTCCTGACCTAAACGTAAAGATTAGTTATCTAATAACAGAGGTTAATGTAGGTGATTTTTAAGAATCAAGTTCAAAATCGATTGCATAAACTCACCTTCTTCTATACAGCCCTTGAGGCTAGGAATGGCCTCTTTTCCAACGCATCTATACCACAAGGATTAGCTTTGACGGATTCAGAGTTAATAGCTTGAAAATATACATACTCATTTTCTTTAACAGTTAAGGCCTGTTTTTCACTGAATGGGCCACTATTTTGTACTCATCCAGTTATTTCGTCAGTATTCTGTCAGTATTGGCCAAGATTTTGACTAATAGAGGCATCAAGCCTCTCTAAGTCATCTTGCAGTCTCGAGTCTATGGCTATTCCAAGCTGTTCAGACTCTGGAAATAAATTAGTAGTTGTGAAATCAAGTTTCTCCAAGTTATTCTCAATATCTCAATCTTCTAGATGGAAATTTAGATAAGAGTTGCAACTAATTTTCTGATAACTCTTCTAGAAGGATATCAGAATGAATAAAAGAAAATCCTCACTTATTAAGGTTCTATATAAATTTATGAAATCTTTGAAGTCAGAAGCCATACCTTCTTCATCTATTCACTCATTAGTTTTTAGCCCAAAGCTGTGTAAAAGGGCTTCATCTTCATCAAAATTTTCATTTGAAGGGAATCTCTTAAGGCATTCAGGCTCTTCAAAGTGCATGAAGTCATCTCTTTCAATGTCCATATTCACGTTACCTTGCTCTTCACTTCAATTAGGGTTATAAGTCATCCCTTGTCCCGGTACATTTGGTTGTATTGACATATCTATTTTTTTAATTCTAAAATATTATTTGGGGTTTTGGGGTTTTGGGGTTTTGGGGTTTTGGGGTTTTGGGGTTTTGGGGTTTTGGGG